AGTCATGAGCGCCCTCAGCCCTGGACCGTGTCCTGTGCCTCCTGACCTTTACCTGTGCCCCCTGACCTGTACCTGTGCCCCTTGACGCTGCATACTGTGCACCCCGGTGGCACTGTGTCCTGTGCGCCCCGGTGGCACTGTGTCCTGTACGCACCGGTGGCACTGTGTCCTGCCCGCACACACCCCGGCTTCCCTGTCTCTGGTCCGCTCTGGCCGCGCCGCTGCTGCTTTCCTCTCTCAGTCTCTGGCGCCCAGCCGACTAATGGATAAAACGCATTATGGCCACCCTGGCAAATACACGCCAGAGACGCACACAAATAAACAGAGCGGAAACATGTGTAATGACTGAAAAAACGATGGCACGCCTGCGCCACCCCGGCAAAAAGCTGAGAGCCCTGGCGGCCGAGAGCCGAGCTGAGAGGAGAGGCCGGGCCGGGCGCCCGCTCCGCGCCGCGCCCGGCTCTCGGGGCGCGCCAGATGTGCGCCGCCGCGCCGGGCTCGTCTCGTCCTATTTTGGCGACGAGCAGCGGCGCGGCAGTGGGCCGCGTTTGGCAGCCGCTCAGTGGCGGCGTCCGTCTCCCCTCCGAGAGCAGATGTCTGTGATAAACTGGCGGCCGCTGCCGCCAGACACTTAGCGCCCGTTATTTCCACTTTTAATTGTCGTAAATCATTCAAGGCAAACAGTAAACTGTGCTCGCGCGACCTCAAGAGATCGTAAATCCATCCGTCCTTCCGCAAACCAAGACATGGAGTGGTGTTATGATCTTGTTTATATCGTCGACGCTCTACGTTGAAATCGTATACAAACGGTAAACCAATTATTTTGGCACATAATTAACAATAATACACACCATCACAAACGGTTACGTATGTGGGACAATGCGCAGCATGGAACTTACGCCAGCCTCAGAATACCTCGGCATTAAAGTCATCAAATAAAACTAATCGAATCACAGTATTTCGTCCTAGAAATAGCACTTGCTACCAGAGTCATAAAGCTCCCTACAAATACCCTAGAGTGCGGAAACCAGTCAGATGAAATATCATCGCGTAATACTGACAGTCTGAGCCGCAGACGCGGCAAACTGAAGCACGTCCTCCAGGCAACGCGCCCGCGCCGGACCACTTACGTATATCCATAGTTTGTACAAATGCACGAGTATTCTCACAGATGACACGCGCGCACGTGCGCGCGAGCTAGGGCGCATGGCACGCTTCGTCACCGACCTAACAGCTCAACATAAACGCACTCCCAGTCCCTGAATGTACTGGCTAAGCCCAACAGGAGATGGCCGGGCGGCAGCCAGCGATGCACCGCCCTGACCTCAGATCGGTCCGTGACCCAGCCGCCCTGAGCCGGGTCAGCCCGTGACCCAGCTCATCATGTTCAGCGGAGCCTCAGAAAGAAAACGGGCCGCGAGCGCGCTGCTCGGGCCGTGGATCCGTGCGGCTGGCCCGTGACACGGCGCCAGTCCGTGCGGTGGACGCGGCGGTGGCCGTCCACCCCGAGCTCTCGTCTGCCGCCGGCCGGCCGCCCCCGCCCCCGCCGCCGCCGCCGCCGCCGCCGTGCAGAGGTGCGCCCGTCGCCGTCCGCCATCCGAGCGCTTGCTGTTGTCTCCGCTGTCGACAGAATTCGACTAAGTCCGCATCTGCAACAGCGGAGACAACTGCGCGTCAGATGGCGGCTGGCTGCGCGGGCACACGCTGCACAGAGCGGCCGCCGTGGTGTCTGCCGTCCCAGGCGCGCGCGTCTATCTTCTCGATTTTGACCGCACTCGGGCGGACGCTCAATTCGAGCGTTTGAGAGAGAAATCGAGACTGGCGCAAACCTGGAACAGCAGAACCAGTGCGGAGCACAGCAGGCACACAGGGCACAGGGCAGGGCGGGCCGGCAGGAGGGTCCCGGTCCCCGTCTCAGTCTGGCAGTGAGACGGAGCCCACCCGTGGAGAACTATTCACCCGCTGCTGATTCCCAGCCAAGTGAGCATCCCGGTACAGCTTTCTGGACCCGTTTCCCGGCCGTTACGGTCCCGTCGCGGTGTCCCTGGCCGGCCGGGAGGGAGGACAATGCGCCCGCTCGGCCGGCCGCTCCCCGCTGAGCCGAGCACGGTCCGGCCCCTGGGCCTTGGTCCGTCGTGTTCAGCCCGCACCGCGCCGCGCGCCGACCAAGCAAAAGTTATTCGTCCGACAAAGGTCGCCCACGGACGGCTATTTCAGGAGCGGGAGGTGAGCCGGCTGTGCTCAGTTGGACGGCGCGCTGACCTCGAAAAGCGCGTGTGACGGCCCGACCGGCCACCCAGGCGCGGAGCCCACGGCCCGACGGGGGACTGAGGAATGCGGCCCACTGAGCGCAGGAGTAGCGGCATTTCCGATCAGCGGCACCCATGCGTGCATTAGGTAACACGGTCTCTGTTAACCAATGCGCCCCGATTTCCATTCCTTCCGATCGATGATCATGAGTGGGATCTTTATCGGCGATGAGTTCAGCGCCATTTGGCCGCCGACCGCGGCCGAGCCGGCCTGGCTGACCGACCGTCCCGCAGTCCCGACGCGCTTTGCGGGCGTTCCCCGATGCTCAAGTCACTGCACTCGGGTTTATCCTGGGCTTTCCAGCGTTCCACCACATCCTTCTCTCCGTGACCTCACTGACGGTGTTTTGTCGTCGGCGACCTCTGCCTACTGCGTGACCCGTGACCCAGCCGTGACCTCGGCCCGACCTCGCCGGGGCGCGATCCTATCGCGTGGCCTCGCCACCGCCGCGGGACGCCTCTCGCCACGGTGCGCCAGTTCTGTCGCCAGCGCACGTATCGCGCCGCGAATCACCGTCGTGCTCCGGAGAAACCGGTGGGCCGCACCCGACTGCGCCCTTTTCCCTGTCCATCGGTCAAAAACGCTGCTAGCCCTCCTAATTGCGCCGCGCGCGCACAGAGTCGGCAGCAGCTGCGGCCGGTGGCGACTGCGGCGCGCAGCGGCGATCCCGGAACAGATAGTCGACACGACAGCCGTCCAGCCGCCGCGGCCCGTGTGGCCGTCCAGCCACCGGCACCGCCACCGCCGTCCCACAGCGCGCACCTGCCGGCCGACCCCACTGCGGACCCAGAGGCCGGTACATCCCCGACCGGCCACCGGACCCGGTCCGATCACGGTGCCGTGAGTCACGGTACCCGGTCCGGGTCCAGCCGTGACGGAGATCTCGGCCACTCGGTCACCAGCCCGGCCACTCAGAGAGGGCGCCTGCCGAGTCACTCGTCCACCCGGCGCGGCCACAACAGGTTCCCAGTGGCGGCGCGCGGCTCCCGCGCAGCGATCGCCGCGATAGGCGCGGCCGCGCCGCCGCTCGCCGCTTGTCAGTGGGGTCACGTTGTATTTTATCGGCAGCACCGGACGGGACGGGGCGCGGGAATAATTCCTAAATAAACGATCCGGGCCCAGATAGCTGGGAAATTCGAACGCTCAGATGGTCGAAATCATAATAAACTTGTGGTAGGAAATCGCCCTTCGACGCTCGATTTATGGATAGGCCGAGCGGACGGTCAAACCCATTCTTTGGATGTGGAGCCGGTGGCGGCCGGCGGGCGAGGCAGCCGCGGCGGCTGGCCGGACTGCGACCATCATTCCATCTGTGATTGGAAACGAGTGGCTCTCGCGGTCCAAACCTGGGGTTCAGCCGCCACCTTTCCCGACTGCTGAGACAGAATTGACTGTGACCGCCCTCCCCCTCCCCGTCAGCTCGCTAAGGCGGCTCGGGTCGGTTAGATCCAGCTCTGAAGCACGACAATTCCGCCTGTCCCCGAGGGGTGAGGCCCTCCAGCCGGCGATATTGTCTGCCGCCAGTCGGAGACAAATTCCTATCGGCCTGTTTACATTGGAGACCAAGTTAGCCAAAGTTCAGGCCGGCCACAGCCTGATGATTTATCCGCGCCGTCATAAACATGTCAAGGCGACTTGTGCAAACACAAACGGGCGACGAGAGCGCTGCGCGGAGCGGGTGCGGGCGGCTTCGGCAGCCGGGCGGCCCGACACGGCGGCGGGCAGCCCGACCCCAGCCGCACAGCCGGCTTAAAATATCGCCCCGGCCTGACGGTATCAAGAAACTGGAATGCATTCCGACCTAGGTGCACATCAATGCACCGCAGTTGCTGCAGCTACAATCATTAACGACCTGGGTATTTATGTAGTTTTACCTCGTGTCCCAAGAAAAATAGACAGGCACCAGTCGTGCGGCCACGGACACCCTCATTAAACGAACGATTAATCATATCAAAATACCAGATATCCATCAATGCGGAGTGTTCCGTGCTGAGTCGTGTCATGTACGCGTGTTTTACTGTCGCGCGCGCTGATATTGATGAATACTATCACATTTCCCGGGCGGCTGGGGCGGCCGGGTTTCCTGCACCTGTGCCCATGTCCAGAGGTGTGAACCCACCGAACCAACCAGGTGTGACATAGCTTCCAGCCAGGAAGGAGCGCGGAAAACGGTGCAGGGAGGTAGCCCAAGGAGTGCACGAGGCAGCGTGACAGGCGACAGCGACCACCGTGCACGGCCGGTGTGGGAATGGGCGAATTATAAGAATACGTGCTGAGGAATTCATTAAAATGGTGTATTCGGCACGACTTCAGAAAAGTTTTAATTATGTTGTCTGGCAAAATGTGAAGGACAGAGAAGGGGGATTCCTTCACAGTCTTTTTTTTACTAATTTCGTGGAAGAAACTATTCCCCAGAAGTAAAGAAAAGGCAAAGCGAAGACTTTCGGTGAAAATACACGTCTTCGCTCTCAAGCTGAGTAATTAGAAATAGAGACCGGCTCAATGAAGTGACCTAAATGATAATTTGCTGGTTGACCGGTAGGTACTCCATTTCGTCTGTCATCGACCGTCGACTGCCCACCGGCTGCGGCTCTGGGCGGCGGCGGCCGTAGCCAGGGGTACGCGGCGGGGGGCGGGTGCGGGCGGGCGGGGTGCGGGTGCGGGTGCGTCCCCTCGCGCCGGGTACTCACAATGTCGGGCGTGCTGGTGCCGTCTTGGCTAGCCTCTGCCGAGGCGCGCGAGTTGCCACTGTTGTTGTTGGTGTCACCGTGGCCGTGCTCGCTGGGCTTGGCGGCCGCGCCGCCGCTGTCCCGCTCATCAATCACTAGGTCTATGGGCATCTTGCCCTTCAAACAGCTGATGTAGCGGTGGCAGAAGTTGTCGCACAGCTCGTGAACCTGCAACAGAGGGGAGAGGGACGTCAGTCAGGTGGGGAAGCACCACGGTCACCGCGCCGCACAGCCACCGGAGCTGCCCAGCGCGGCTCACAGTGCAGCAGGACCTCACGGCCGTGCACGGCAGTGGAAGGGAGTCCCAGTTTCCAGCGGGCCGCTTGGAACAGATCCCAATGTCCGGTGATGGTGCCATGTCGGACTGACACGGTGTCGGGCTGACACTATGCCCGGCTGACACGGTGTCGGGTGTCCTAGTGACAGGTGACAGCAGGTCAGCGGATACTGAGCCACTGTCACAGCCCCCCCCCCCCCCCACTTTCTGCAGCGTCGCCCCGGCGACAGGGATTTTTGTCAGCGACCCTGGCGCGCGATACGATCTGCCTCCGGACAATGGGCCCGGCTCCTAATCGTCTGACACCTGCAGGCCAGTCGGCCGGAGATGATTTTACCCTGTCCTGACCGCGGCGCCAGGGGTGCAGCTCAGGGTCAGCACGGGTGTATGAAGACGGTGAATGAAGACAGGACGGTGGACAGAGAGATAATCATAGGACGAGTTACTTTCCTCCGCTTTCTTTCCTGCCTCTAATCCACCCCTTCCCCACCTCCCAAACAGAGCGGCGATCCCCTGCTGCCGGCTCCGGCTCCGGCCCGCTCCGCCTCGGCGACCACAAACAGAGACGCACTGCACGCAGCTATTTAGGCGATTCGGCCGCAATCCGGCCCAGCTGATAACACTAAAGCCCTTTGTTTGTTGCTCGGCAGCATTTTGCGGGTCTGGATCAGCCGCGGCGGTCGGTTTATCTGCGCACTCTCCCCGCGCCCCGGGCACTCTGCCCGCGGTGGGAGGGAGCAACACAGACACACGTGCAGGCTGAAACTGAGCGCGGCCCACAGACGGCTTTGGCGACCGGTTACCGCTTAGATACGTAAGCTTCTTAAAAAGTCATCGCAGATAGAATCGGAGCTTTTTGCTATAAAGAATGTTAAATACCCGTTTCGCGGAGTGGGTGCATTACCGGACGACTGTGGTCGGCGACACGCCACTTTTACGGCGGAGCACATGCAAAACCAGCGCCATTTGTCCTCGGCTGCAGGTATTTGGCCGAAAAATCGCTCCCTACATGGCCGTGGACAGGGCCCGTCGCGAGTGACGGGCGCTTTCCTATAGCGGCGCGGCAAGTGTCGCCGTCTGTGGCCGGGTTAGGTGCACCCCGGCCCGTCCCAGTTCGTCCCGTATCGGCCCGGCCCGGCCCACCGCCCTGTTTTCAGACCAACTCTCCGAAAACGAGCCGTCTACGTGCAATAACACCCACTAATGTGTGTTATGACTGAGCATAAACACGGCGGCCGATCCTGCAACAAACACTGAACGCAAAAGAAAACAGGAGAAAGATCAATTAAATGACCGGATCACGGGCCGCTCGGAAGTCGTCGGTTTGGTGTGTGGCGAGGAGCGGCGTCTCGGGCCGCCGGGCCGCCGCGGGCCCGGATGGCAGCGGGCCATTCTGAGGCGACCGCAGCATCCCGAGCGGTGCAATGGGGGCCGTGGGGCGGCCATTAGCCAACACCCAGACGGGCAGACGGCCTGGCAGCCAGCCCGGCGCACACCGCAGCGGGCCACCGCAGGAACGAGCTGTCACCGGGTCACAGTCCGACCCGTCAGAGCGCGCCCGGACACCGGGGCGCTACCAGGAGCTCCATCAGAACACCGGGGCGCTACCAGGAGCTCCACTAGGCCATCAGGACAATACCAGGAACGAGCCAGGACACTAGGGCGCTACCAGGAACTCTACTAGGACATCCGTGTGCCGCGCAGTTTGCACTGATTGGCACACATTCTTGCGGGCGCGCAAAAACGGCTGCGCGGGGCCGACAGCGCGGAGCTGTGAAATATCGCCCTGCCGAGAGTGGCAGTGGGCGGAACAAACCACAAAAAGGCGACCTTCGCCGCGCCCCGCGCCGCCTCCGGCCGCCGCCGGCGCGCGCGGCAGAGACGCTGTCATTCAAATGGTGGCGTTCTGATGTTTGGGAAATGGTGGTCACACGCTGTGCACGGCTGATAAACGCCGCGGCCAGGCATTGCGTGACTCAATCTCCGCCCGGGGCTGATCGGCCGCGAGGAGATGGGAGAGGCAGAGGGAAGGGAGAGGAGAGGAGAGGGAGGGAGAGGGATAGGGAGAGTGGGGAGAGAGGTGATAGGAAGATGGGACTGGAAATCGAACAATGGGAGAGATGTGAGAAAACAGTCAAAAGCTCATATTTAGCAAATATTTCGGACGGTTGACAAAACATCGGGTTTAAATTTTACAGCTTCTCCGGAGGTTAAAATATTGCTGAATTTTGAGACGGCAGTTAGCCAGCTACAGTCCGTCAGAGACCGGGCCAGTACAGCGGGATCCATCCGGTGTGCCGCTGCCGGGGACAGTCGGCTGTGCACAGCCGTGTGCACTAACGCCGTGTACACTAACGCCGCGTGCACTGTGCACAGTGGCGTGAAGAGCGGCGCATCGGGAGCAGGGTAGAGCGCCGGAGCGGGCAGAGCGCTCGGAGCAGGAGATGGTCTGCGGCGTGGGCGGAAGCGACCGGTCGCAGCGACCACCACAACAAAGGCCACTGCAGGCCTGCACGGCCGCCGTTACGAGCCATAAACATTGAATAACGCCCGGACGGACGGACGGACGGACGGACGGACCGACCGACCGACGGCGGCCGCGGCCCGGCTCTGGTCCGGCTCCAAGCTGGGTCCAGTCTGGTCTGAATCTGGTCTGGGCCTGGGCATGAGTCTTGTCTGGTCAGGCCCCGTCTACTCGTACATTCAACATTCCCCGATGCCCGGAAGTGCAGGTAGGACCACCGGTGTGGTATTTCGGCCAGCTGTTAGGAGCTGCCATGTCCAGCCCTGTCCTGTCCGCCCCTATCCTGTCCGGCGCCGTCCAGCCCGCCTCTGTCTTGTCCGAGGCTCTCCGGTGGTGGTGATGTCATGTCACCAGGTATTCCCACGCGGCAGTGGGCCGGGCGGTCGGCGTCACCGCTGACCCGGCCCGGTCAGCGCTGGTCAGCGCGCCGGCCCCACAGCGCAGCGGTCCGACGCTCACACCCAGCCGGACGCCGCCAGTGCAGCGGCCGGCCAGCCGGCGCGGCGCCGTAAATTTGGTGAATCGCCGCCGCCACAATTACTGAATTCTTCCGGCGGGCCGCACCAGCAGCGGGTCATTAGCTGGAGCCGCCGCGCCGGCTCTGTGTGCATCTCTGCAGCCGGCGCGAGCAGACCGTCACGAGGCGTCACGAGGCGCGCCGGCCGTCACGGCCGCGCCCGGGCGCCGCTGACCGTCCCCTGACCCGCCGGGGGCGTGCCGGACGCGCTGTGAGCCGTGGCCGGCCGTAGTGCGGCGCCGCGACGGTCATTTCGCGGGCCGTGCTCGGTCCGCCTGCAGCAAACGGCGCGACCCGGAGCGTGGCCGGAGTGGGCCGGAGTCAGCCGGGCGGGCGGCGGGCGGCGGCCGCTGCAGCAGCGCGCGGCCCAGCGACAGCTGCTGCTGCGGGCCGGGGCGCCGGGCCGGGGCGCCCAATATCGCGCCCGTCAGCCGCGCTGCGTCAATATTGAGAATGCTCGGAATTCCGCTATCTTTATTGCATTGTTGGGACGTAATTCTGCTACATTCTCTATCCATTTCGGGCTCGGTCGGCTGGCGCTGGGTGCGTTTATTGGCGGTGCGCTGACGTACGACATGGCGGAACGGCCCGGGAGGTCGGCGCAGGGCACCGCGGGCAGTGGGGGCTGGAGAGGCCACGCAAGCATAGAAAGCTGGGACGTTCAAGCCAGTAAAATGCCAAAAGGACAACGGCCGTGGCGTCTCATAAAAGATCCCGTGACCCGCCGTTGATCGGTGGATGCTAAAACTGAGCAGACGATAGGCGAGGGAGGCACGGACATCGGGCATGGTATTTTGCATGCAATGAAGGACTATGACCTCTATCCAGAAAATATTGCAGCCGCTGGAGCGCTCATCACGGCGCCGGCGTCATTAATAGCGGCAGCAGCGGCGCCATTAATAGCGGCGGCCGGCAATCGCGGCCGACAAAGGCTGGGGACACGTGCCGGCGTCAGCTGGCGGGCTGCGCGGCGCGCTGCAGCGGCGCACCGGCGGCACTGCCGGCGGCGGCCGGTCACCTGCAGCTGACAGGCCACAGAGCCGGGCCGGCGCCGCCCCTCGCGGCACGTGGCCGCCGGCACGGACAGCCGCCGCCGCCCCTGGCCGTGTCACTTGCAGGGCCGGCCTGCTGTCGGCGCCGCGCCGCCCCCACAGACAGATTTAGGCGCGCGGCGCGCAGCGCGCAGAGTGCGGCGCTGCTGGCGCGCCGGTGACAGTGGCGGCGCGCGTCCACCGCCGACAATGGCTGTCGCCGCTCACAGGACCATCTGGTGGGTGCTGCGGCCAGCCGTCGCTGTCGATGACCGCGCGTCGTTCGCGGCTGTCGTCACCGTCAGCGGGCGCGGCTCAGCGCCGGCCGTCCGTCTCCGTGGGAGCACCCGGCCCAGCAGCAGCCGCCGCCGGCCGGCTCCAGCAGCCGCACCGTTCAAACAGCCAGGACAAACAGCGGCCCGGCTGTGTGTGTCTGTGTGCGCCGGGATGGTCGCCGGTGGCCGGCGTCCCGCAAACACGGCACGATCTGATGACGGTGATGATTGTCGGCGCGGCAGCACACACGGCGCTCCGCCGGAATCCGCCCCGTCACCGCCGGCCGCTCCGCGCGCCCGCCGCACCAACCGGCATGCAGGCCAGGTGCGGAGGCGACGCGCCGAGCGCGCCCGCAGCGCCCCGAGACGTCGCCGGCGACAGGGGCCCACAGCCCTCGCAGCCGCCGGCCCTAATGTGGCGACCATCTGGTCCGGGTCTGGTCCGAGTCTGGTCCCGGTCCGGACCGCCGGCCGCCGCCCGAACCAGATCACACGTGTTCGCCGTCCCATGGGCGCCAGGCCGAGTCCATCACCGAGAGGCGCGCTGTCAGACGGACCGAGCCCCTGATCGCCGCCTCATGCCCTGATCACCGACCCGTCAGATATCGGGGGCAGTTTGGGGCGCAGCATATCACCTACACGGCCCATTAAAATACCGTCCATTAGGCACGGGTGAGCCGGGCGGCGGCGCTCGACGGCTCGGCGCCCGGTCGGTCGCGGGTCGCGCTGTGTCAGGCCGGCCGTTACCGACTGTGCAGTGTGCAGTGGCCTGCAGGTGCAACACGGCACAGCGGGCAGCTGGGCACCGCCGCCGCGGGGCGCGATTGATCGGCGGGGACACCGCCCGAGGGGCCGCGGCAAGGCGGGGTGGGGGCCCATGGAGCCGCACCACTGAATGGGCACCGGGCGGCCGGCCGTCCAACGGGCAGTAAGTGGGGTCCAGTGTTCGCGGGGCGCCCCAGGTCACCGAGGTCAGTAGCCGCGGGGCGCCCCGGGTCACCGAGGTCAGTAGCCGCCGGCTGACACAGGTCACTGAGGTCCAGTGCCCGCGGGATATCCCAGGTCACCGAGGTCAGTAGCCGCGGGGTATCGCAGGTCACTGAGGTCAGCGGCCGCGGGGTATCGCAGGTCACTGAGGTCAGTAGCCGCGGGGCGCCTCAGGTCACGAGGTCAGCGGCCGCCGGGCGCCTCAGGTCACGAGGTCAGGCATGTAAGGCGATCGCCTGCTGTCAGCGACAATCCCAATTTTGGCCGGTGAATCTTGGGACCACCACTGCCCGGAGCTTAGCGGCACATTCCGGGCATGACCTGTGGCGTCAAAACTGCGCCGTCATCGTGCTCACGGACACGGGGCGGCGTGTCCGCAAACACCGAGCGCCAGGAGGGGATCTAGCCAACCGGCGGCCGGCCCTGTCCTGTCCTGTCCAGTGCGCGGCTACCCGAGCCCCTGCCGACCGTCACGAACCGGCCGGCTCCCCGTGACGGCTGGCTCCCCGTGACGACTGTTTCCCCGTGACGACTGGATCCCCCCGTGATGGCTGGCTCCCCGTGACGGATGGTTTCCCGTGACGGCTGGATCCCCGTGACGACTGGCTCCCCGTGACGGCTGGTAGCCCGTGCTCACGGCGTCACGGTCCGGGCAGACAGAGCGCCGCCGCCGCCGCCGCCGCCACCGCCCACCGCCCACCGGGCGCCCTTGCATGCCCAGCAGTCACAAAGCAGCGGGCTGATGTATTTTCCTGGAACCGGGCGTCCAATGCCGTGGAATCGTGAGTGTGGAGTGGCCATCGAGCGGCCAGTGGACCGGCAATGGGCCGCCGCCGCGGTGACTCAGCCCACGGTGGACGGCGAACGGCGCGTAACGGCCGGGGTACGGGCGGGGTACCCGGGGTACAGCCGGGATACGGGCACCCACCACGGGCACCCAGGGTACCCGGGGCACAGCCGGGGTACACACGGCGGGGTACCCGGGGTACAGCCGGGTACAGCCGGGGTACGGGCGGGTACACACCGCGGAGTACCCGGGGTACAGCCGGGGTACGGCAGGGTACGGACGGGTACACACGGCGGGGTACCCGGGGTACGGCCGGGTACGGACCGGTGGAGGGCGCGGGCGATGGTAAGGCCAGGTGTGCACTATACGGTACATAATGCATGGGATGCGGCAGTTGCACGGGCCACGACCGTGACCGGAGGGGAGCGACCGGTGACAATTAGGTACTGGTATGTGTTCTGGTCGAGGCAGAACGGTTCAGTGTGGGCAGAACCAGATAATCAGCCAAAGAGGCGAGAGAGTGACGGAGTCAAAGCGCTCATAGAATCTGCTGATCGAGCTCAAACTATACGACAAACATGACATGAATGAGTCATGAAACGGAACAGGATTCTACGGTCTAAATAAACATCTTGGATGTAAATTGCATCAAAAGCCACTTAGCTGGCCCTTTGCGAGTCCTCACAGGTATCTATGGACCTTATTATGATAGTTGCTCATTTGTTTTGCTGCCGCTAAGACCCATTCCCTTCAATATCAGAGCGAGCAGCGCTATCAATACGGTCCCAAGTACCGTTTATGCGCCTGTCTTCAGGGACAAGTCGGCACAGAGACCGAGCAAAGCCAGCAGCGGGTGACAATCCCAATGTCAACAGAGCCGCAGCGTCCCCTCCCTCCCCTCCCTGCCCTCCCCGGGGCCGGGCCGGGCCGGACGTGTGGCGATACCGCCTCTGCAACGGGGGAATAATAGGGGTGCACGGGGGAATTTATTCGCCAGGCCCCGGATCAGAGGGAGATAAGGCTAATGAATAAAAATGAGGGTCCACGGCGGAGATTAGGCATTAGTGCGCCCGGTGGTGCGGCTGGTGCCGACGACGACGAGAAAAACTCATTTTGTTCGGCCTTATCCCGCAGAAGTTGCGTGTAATCAATCAAGACAGAGCGCCAGATAGCAGCGGCGGCGGGAGGGAGCTGGCGGGGAGAGCGGGCAGGGCAGAGGGGGGAGAGGGGCGGTCCAAAACGGACGGTGCAGGCCCGCGTGTTGTGGGACGGCGCGCTGCCACGCCCGGCGCTGCAGCGCTCACGACTTACCTTTTCTAATTCGAGCAGATGAAACCGCAGAACCTGGATGGCCTGCACCATCTGAAACAGAGCGGGTGCGGCGGTCAGCGGCGGTGTGACGTCATCAGCCGGTCAGCGGGGGTGTGACGTCACCGGCGGCCACAGCCGTATCGGGCCGCCATAAATCAGCTGGCCGGTGACAGGCCCCGATCCTACAAGATATCGTCTCAACTTGTGGGCTAAACGCTTCAAGTGAGTTCAATTGAGCGCCGGCGGCAGCGGCGTCTGCCGGTCGGCCGGCTCAACAATGGCTGCCAGCGGGAGGTGACAGCGGCTGCCGACAGCGGCCGACAGCCGCCGACAGCCGCCGCCGCGCTGTCGCGTGCTGCCGACATTGTCCGCTGACCGCCGTTCTGCAGCGACGCCACTCAGCCGTGACCGACGCCACATTCCTGCGTGGGCTTAATGAAATAGCGAGCGGACCGCATCTGGCGCCGGCCGCTAAAACGCCGCCCACCAGGAATGCACTGTCAGTCAGGCGCTGCAGCAGCCGGCCGCACTCCCTATGAATTTCTGATGTTTCTACTTGCCCGCCCGCGCTCACAATAGGCAATATCCACGGCGGCCGGGCCAAACCCCTAGCACCACAGTCCATGGGACGCCATTTCCGAATTACCCATGCTTGATCGATACGTGAATTCGGCCGCCTGAATCATCTTTTGATCGGTGGAGCCGCGGGCTACTCAATACGAACCGCTCGGGGTGGCGGTCTGCAGCCGGGTTAGTCAGCGCGCCGCTGCTCGCCGCACTGAGTGACAGCGGCAGATGCGGCGCAGGTGAGACGAGCGCGCCGAGAGCGAGCACCGGAAGGCAGAGCAGCCCTCCTGAGCCCCTCTCCGGCCCTCTACATCCCTCCCTGCCTGGATTACAGCCCGTCCCTAGTCTGACAGCTCAACCTCGCCCAGTGCCGGCGGCCGCTGGCAATGGTGCATTGGTGCAGTCACGGATACCGTTAACACACCCCAACCCCGTGACCGGACGCTATATCTACACCACCCCTCACATCTGACCTATCCCCACAGCGGGTCGGCGGTGACCACCCGGCTCCCTGAGGGTTCGGCGGCGCCCCGGCTGGCCGGCTGACACCCGGTATGTCCGGCGGCGGCGGGCGCCCGCTGCCAGCCGCCTGACCGAGCGGCGGTCAGTCGGCGCGACGCCCTCTGTTTTTCCGTCTCCGCCGGCGCCCACAATCGTCGCTCCTATCTGTCTGGCAGCGCCGCGCTGGCCAGGCCGTCTGCCAGCCCCTCGTCAGTCCTCGACAAAAATACACACCTTCCGACGGCCGACGGTACACGCTCAAAACGACGCGACGCTCCGACAAAGCTGACGCCCGCCCCCGCCCCTCCCCCCCGCCCCACCCCCATGCGCACGCGCCAAGGTGTCGCGAGGGGCCGCCGGCGGCCGATGGTACTTACTAGACTATCTAACTCCGGGTTAGGATTGTAGTATGGCTTTTCTGCTCGAATCTGAAACAGACACGCAAGAGTCAGAGCCGTCAAAGGCGGGAGGGCTGCCGCACCGGGTTAATGTCACGGGCACACGCAACCTCCCGGATGGGTCAGAGTTTGGCCACGGCCTCCGCGGGCACACACACAGCCACACGGGCACACCACATGACACGGTCCTCCAGAGACGCACAAAAACAGACAAATATTTACAGCGCGGCCGGCAGGCGCCGCCACAATGCGCCCGGCCGGCCGGCCGGGGAAGGGTTATCCAAACACTCGTCTACAGGACCACGGGGAAATAATCCGGCGCGTATGCAAATAGTGCGGCGGCGGCGGCGCGCCGATTAACCAGTCAGCGCGCTCACAGCGGCGAGCTAATCACAGCGGCGGCACACTCGGTGTTGACCCGCACATTGTGCGCCGGCCGACAGTGCAGCAATCATGACAGGGGTGCACGGCACTCGGGACAGGACACGTGCCAGGGCACTCCGGCCTCGTCAGACAGAGGAATCAGCTACAAATGACATAAGAAAACTGATGCCTAAACTCACAACAAAAGACGGACGGACACAGAACGGAGCAGCAGTTTAAATGACTGACAGCCGCAGCAGCAGGCAGTGATAATTTTGCTGGCATTGGCACGGCAGCTCAAGTACAGCAGGCAGGATGAATATGATGAATGTGTTTGGCGGTGATTGATTGACACATGGTTTGGATGGGGACCGATGGAGCCGGGAATATCGGCCTCAGCACAGATTCACTGATGTATAACAAGCACACAAACACGGCTGTGAATGATAAAGGGCTGATGGTTGACAGCCGGTTGTGACCTGCTGTGACACGGGGCGACAGCCGGCGGCTGACGACTCCCACTGCCGTCCGGCGGCCCAGCCATCGCACAGTGGCCCTTTTTCGGAATTAGCACGCATAAATTCAAAATATTTTTTCTCTTCTTTTGAGTAAAAAGCAGTCTAATCGTGTGCAAAACATTCCAAACTATCCGATGGTGCCATTTTTACCTCCTAAAAAATAACTATCTTTGGTAAAACTGACCGCAAAATCGAAGTTTGTTGAGAAGCGCGCGGACACCACCGGCGGACCCTAAAAAGTGGAGTAGAATGAACATCAATTTGTAAGACTTTCGATGCGAAAATATTAAAAATTAGTGGCATGGATGTGAAGCTGAGTTTACGTAGAAGCCCTAGAAACCACTATTTTCATTATATAAGCTTAGATAGACTACTTCTGCCGAATATTGTGGACACAATAACAGGACAATTATTAACTGGAGATGGCGGCATACATATGAAGCTTTATGTTAAGTAGCACACTCCAGCACATGTCGTATTATACATCGTTCGAATCGCCGATCTCTTCTGACCATGTCCACCAAAGGGCATCGCGCCATTTTGCGCCATTTTGCTTTTACGGTGGATAACGTGAGCCAGTTCAGTCCGCGAGCGGCTGTGGCTCCTGAGTCGATACGACTAAGCTCATTGACCTGGCTCGAAACTGGTGTCACCTGGTGTGCGCCTAAATGTGGCTTGACTTTTGCCATAAGATGTGCTAATTGAAATTATACTAACGGTGGCTGGCAACAGCTGTAGATGCGGTCACGTGACGCCCTGGGGCGTCCTGGCGGTCAGTGCAGCGCGGTCGGCTGGCGGGCTCGCCACACTTGCGCTCGGAGCGGCCTGGCCGGCGGGCGAGCCGTGCGAACGTGCGCCAAAGCTTGGGCCGAGCGGCCTGTCGCTGTTGGGCCGAATCTCCTTGGGCAGTTCGTTTCTTTTCCTCTCTTTGCATTGGCAGGGAATACGTCCTTGATCACGTGGTGATGTCTTGCACCACTTTTAGGTAATGTGGGTATTAATGCGTGCTAATTCTGAAAAAGGGCCACTGTGCATCGGTCACAGCGGACCGCCGCGGGCTGCCCCCCCCCCCCCGCCCCCCGCCGTACACCGGTCTGTCGTACACGACTACAGCTGCTCACCAGCCGGTAACGGTAGAACACCGACACACATACCCAATCGACTCTCCGGTCGGTAAATATTGTCTGAGTCGAGAAGTTGTGCGGACACCCGAATGCCCTCCGCAGCGGCCGGTCCCTATCCTTGTTTTGGTATTCGACATCGAACTAAAGCCATTGACTTATTCACACTGAAGACATACACATCACATTTTAGCTAACTTCAATTCACTCCCATCCCCCCACGTGACTATCCTAAACCGTACACATTATTCAACCCTTACCCTAATTCTGATCCACTCGGATCCCAAGGCTGAACCCTAATTCTAACCGCTCAACCGACCAACTCACAATAGACTGGCGAATTTCGACGGGCCCGCAGATGCCCCCGCATCGCACCCGACGCTGCAAACAAAGCGTCGAAAGCGACGCAACACGCCGCGACAGGCGACAACCGGCTGCCGATCACAGCACATATGAATACAAAGGAGGGACGGGTGCACAGCACGTGTTTAAAACATGGGCGCTGCCGGGGCGCCGCGACAGGGCAGCGACACTCAACAGAGGGGACTGGGGAGTCAGAGCAGAGCAGGGAGGGGAGTCCGAGCCAAGCGAGGGGAGCAAACGGATCGGTTTTTCTCGTTATGTTTTAACGATTTCCCAGCGGTATCGGGTGTCGCGCGGTGTGGCGAGCACCGCGCCGGTCGAGCGCCGGTCGCGGCAGGGGGGACGCCCGCGGACCGAGCGAGGTCACCAGAGGAACGCGCCTCCCCCCCCCCCCCGGCCGGGAGACGGGCGAGAACACAGCCGCCGGGATCCATCTTGTGGCGCGCTTGTCTGGCGTCAATCTGGGACCGGGGCCGTAACAAATCGCGGCGCACTCGGCTGCTAGGAATGTCCGCCCTGCCGGCGAGACAAATGGGCCGCTGAGCAGTCCTTTTGGCCGCGCCACACGGTCCTCGGAGGGGCTCCGGTCTGGCACGGTCCAACCGGAGGGTCCGACCGACCCCTGGCCGGCGCCAGGGAGAAGGACCGCCTCCCGGAAACGGTTTACAGCCGACCCCCGTCTCCGGGAGACGTTTACTGGCTGCCCCGATCAGTGGCTTATTGATTACTGGCGACCCACCACCGACACTTACGGTGCCGGACAAAAAATACGGGGAGAAACTGGGTTACGGCCGCTTTTTCTCGTCGTCTTCATGATGAGCACAGCGCAGGGGCGGCCGGCCGGCTCATCGGGCCACGGCGTGCCAGGAATTCCCCGGGCCGAATATACACCTGTTCTACACGGCGCGGCGCCGATAAATCAGACAAAGTGCAGCCTTCTTATCCTTCTCACAATTTCTGGCATCCCGCTGCCGGCCGGCGCCCCGCAAAAACGCCCGCTCTAATACCCTGCCTTTTTGTGCGCCGCTCCCCAGTGTATCCGTTGCCTCGTTTGGGGGTAATCGCACTCCCTCGGGGCAGATCACATTCCATTTGGCATAACAAAAGAAAACAGAGCAGCAGTGTCACCGGGACGCCGGCGCCCTCCCCTCCCCTCGCCCCCAGGCCCCGAGCTGGCGCGTCGCGCGCGACGAAAACGGCGCACAATGCCGCGCCGCCGGCTAATGGATCAAACTGAATTGTTCCAGACCAGCGATTTTACACATTTGCAAATTCTATTGGTCGCCAGCCGGTGGAGTGATAGGTATTGTCTGTGTGCGAGTGGTATGAAGTGGAATGAATGCGAGTCAAAACAGCCGCAGAGCGGCCGCGTGAGAGAGGCGGGGCCCGCTGTGGGGTCCGGGAGGGGACGGGGGGGGGACGCGGACAAAGCTTTGGACTGTCGCCACCCACAGTGTCAAACCGTGACACAGGCGTCCGAGGTCAGCAGCGGTGCCGAGTTTACTCAATGTCACCGGTTTAGGCGTATGGAACTCAGCCCCAGCCACCCAGTGTCACCGGTTTAGGTGGCTGAAAATTAGCCGCGCGCCGAGGGCCCTCGTGCCGAGTGTTTGCCCGGCGCCGTCTCCTGCGCCTCTGATGTGAGAGCCGCGCCGCGGCGGGTGTGAGTTACAGCGCGGAAAGGGGCGGCGGCGCGCGTGACGCCCCTCCATCTCGGCGTTATAGGCGATCACGAATACATCTGGCCAGTGGACGGCGCCCAGACATGCGCCTCCGCCGCGGCCCGGCTGGATCTGAGAGGGATCCCCCTACCCGTGGGATCTGTCACAGGTCTACTGCGTGCGACCGGCCTGACATCGCTGTATCGTTGTCCGAACATTATCCGTGCTGTGCCCGTGTAGTGGGTCCGTGTAGCGCTGTTGTTATTTGTTGTGTCCCTGATGTTTGTCCGTCTCTACGATACCACCGCCTCCAGTCTGCACTGACGGCTGCGTCCCAGCCGATACCGATCGTGGGGCCGACTTTACCAACTCACGCAGCACGGTAGCTGATTTGGGATTTAAAGAGTGCGCGGTCCGTCATCAGCGGCACGCACCGGCCGGCGGCGGGCGGCGGGGCTGTCCCTGTACTCTGACACAGAGCCGGTCCCCCCGCCACTGCAGCGCGGCGTCTCTGTGACGGTCCACTGTGACAGCGCCGTGTGACAGCTCCGTGTGACAGCCCCGTGTGACAGCTCCGTGACAGACTGTCAGCGCCACACACGTGACGTACCATCGGCCCGGCCAGTCATGTGAAAGGAACAAGACCTCCCGGCTACCGGTCTGCAGACCAGAGCAAATTGAACAAGCAGGAAAACCACAGCGCTACATAAATTTGGACAGAAAATAAGCGGCGTTTGTCATATTTTCCTGCCAGTAACGACACGGGACCTTCGCCCGGTGTCTGCCGCACTGCGTCCGGACGGCATTCACGAGCTACAACTCTTGTGTGCACTGTGGCGACCAGATTTCTGCTGGTACCAGTACCGGGCAGGTGCTGTCGGCATGGCCACTGGGCCGTCCCACAGTCGCATATGATAAGTTCGGCAAGGGATAGGCTGTAACACCACACTGTAGCCCGCAGTCAGCGGGTCCGTGAGCTCGCAGCTCGGGCTCGGTTTGAGCCATCGGCCCCTGTGACTGCCCGAGACGCCCGTTCGGCCGCGACAAATCGCGTCTCGGGCTGACCCAGAGTTTCAGCCCCCTGGTCCCTCCCATAGCTCCCCAAGGACTCCTGTCGCACCTTCAGAGGAGAACGGAGTGCTATTCTGGCGCAGCTGTGGCGGTTTTGGCGCACCACCTCTGATGGCCGGTGCGTCACATTTGTCGCGGCCACTCGACAACTGTCGACCGCGCCGGGCACCCCAATTGGAGACGGCGGGGCACGCGCGGCCCGGCCCCGCCTGATTTACCGTCATCCCCGGTGATTTAGCTGTGTGGCTCGGTGTGATTTAACGCGGCCCGTGTGAGCGGCGGCAGTCCGGTGAGATTTAGAGCTGCTCGGATGGGATGCAGGACAGGGGCGACACGAGTACCCACGACCCACAACTCGCGAGCGGGAGACAGCTGGGGCCACCGCGAGGGTACAGTAAACAGCAGGAAGAGACCACGACATAGCTACCTGAACACAACGCTCAGTTCACACAGTGCAGTCGACGGCACGGACACCTGATCACAGCAGGAGCAGCACACGGCTCGGCCACTGAATACAGTCACAGCGTACAGGACAGACCACCCGAAAATACAGCGCCACTGCAACTGCACTGCTGACAAAATACAGACACTCACCGGGCACACTGAAACCAGCACTCGGACATATGAACACTTGATATGACTCGAGGCAACACTATGTCTGATTCACGGAGTGCATAATATCGTTAAAGTTATACAATATATAGCCTCAACAGCCAACAATGTCATATAGGTAGCAGAACACAAATTAGAAGTGGACCCCGACCCGAATTGTAATGAAAAATTATATAATAGTGGCATATCAGCTGCTTTCAAGAAAATGCATGTTTTAAAGGTTAAAGTGTTTGTGAAGTCTGCAAACATTAGCAACTTACAGTAATATACCTACGTTACAATAGAGTATAATTACTAGAAGGAATGTGAGCTACCCGCCCATAGAAGTGCTTCAAATACCACCGATTTTTCATTTTTAAATCTTTCGTCAGATTAAATCATCATCTTTCTGTGACGGTGAGTATGGAATAAAAAATAGCCTCCGCCGGCTCCAGCCACCATAGCTGACCACATTCCCGCATTCCGTACATACAGCCGGGCAGACCGACACACACGCGGCCAGAGTCGGCCGCGCCGCCACAGCCTATCGGCTATCAGATATTTAACATAAATTGGACATTAGCGGCACAACGGTCCCAAAAACCCCAGTGGCGGCCCTGGTGCCGGTGGGAACAGCAGAGCGGCCGGCCCGGCCCGGCCCGGCCCGGTATGTGGGGCTATACCGGGGATCGGCGGCCCGGCCGGCAGAGACGGCAGGTGCCCGGACTGAGGGCCGGGGCTGCGGGCCGGGGCTGCCGGGGCTGCAGGGGCTGCCGGCCGGGGCTGCCGGTGCTGCCGGGGCTGAGGGTTAGGGTTCCCGGTCCCCAGCCGCTGAATCACATAGTATTGAGTAAAGATGTCACTCGGATACCGACTTTTTGGTATACCGATACCAACTCGGTATTTGGTAACCGAAGGTTTGTTGTCAATAATTAAAACACTATTCTTTAGAATTGTGTTTTTCTATTGAAAAACAAATCTGAGTTCCCTGACAATTTGGCAAAAGCTGCCTGTATTTCAAACCTTATGTTTTTTGGTCTTTTGTTGGTAGGTATTATGAATTTTCACTAATGTGTAAGAGGCTGTAAATTTGGTCAAAAGTTGGTGTTTCCCTGGCATTCTCAAGTTGGTTTGGTTTCGGAATTTTTCCATGGTTTTGGTTGGTATTTGGTTTGGTGTCGGTATCCTGATTTTCTGTAACTGACATCACTAGGATTGAGGTACACAGCCCGTGCTACTATCTGCTCAGACCATACTCAAACCACAGTGATGGGGATGTTCTGACGTTTGAAGTGATGTAGTGATGTATGATAGACGTACTCTGCCTGATAAAATGAACCATGGATCCGTGCAAACGGTATACAGAGGTCTGTGAATGAACAAACATCTTTTGGAGTGCAATCGCTGGTGATGCAATGATGTTAGATAACAAACTGAATGCTGATGTATAACAGACTATAGTGCTCCCGGTGCTGATAGCGCCCATGTGATGTGGTGTGTGATGCGACCCTAGCCAACACTGATGTGCCTCGGAGGTCATTCAGCACAGGGGCCGGTTTCCCCGACTGATTCTAAAACTGTGTCCTGATTCTGAGCCCACCCCGGTCCCCGACTGAGACTGGCGCTATATGACTGACTGAGGACTGAGCTGGTGTGTATAGACTCGGCTTCCCCGGCCCCTCCCGGCCAGTCTCAGTCACTCAGTCACTCAGTCCGTCCGTCAGTCAGTCAGTAACCCAGTTCGTCAGAGCGGGTCGGACCGGTCCGCTCCCCTCATTATTGCTGTTTACCGCGCGCCGGCCACGCACGCGGCACAAACAGCGCGCCGGTGACGGTCGCGGCGCAGTGGCGCGCCGTGATCGCCGCCAGCCGGCTATCGCGGCGCGCATCGGCGCCCCCCGCGCGCCGCTTTTCATCTTTTGAGCGGCCCGGCCGAGCCGGCCCGGGCCGGGCGCAGAAATTCGGCGCACAAAGGCGAGGGCGCCGCCGGCCACAATGGGCCACAATGGGGGCCAAGTGAGCAGCGCGGCCCGGCCCGGCCCGGCCCGGTCCGGGGAGCATGGGCCGCCGGGACACCGCGCCCGACCAGAGTCTGAGCCAGAGTCTGAGCCGGAGCCGGAGCCGGAGTCGGAGTCGCGAGTCCCACCTGTTTGCTGAAGACGCCGATGTCCTCGTTGAACGACTCGGAGCTGCACACGTCACCGCCGGCCACGCCCGGGTCGCGGGGCGTGCAGGTCGCCAGCTCGCACTTCTCGAAAATGAGGGCCAGCAACGGGAACAGCGGGTGCCTGAAACGGGGGAGTCACCGTCAGATGAGTGTGACACTCACACAAGGCCGGGTGACACTCACACACGGGCGGGTGACACACACGGGCGGGTGACACTCACACACGGCCGGGTGACACTCATACGCGGCCGGGTGACACTCACACGCGGTCGGGTGACACACACGACCGGGTGACACTCACACGGGCGGGGGACAGCTACATGAACTGGTGACAGTCTGTCACAACCAGCACAGAAAGGTCGGAGCGTTTTGCAGCAAACTGTGGTATTGTGATTTCCTGTCTCGGCCCCTGACCATGAGCGGAGGCCTCTGGCCGCCGTCACAGGGCGGCGGCGGCCCGATTTAGAGCTGCTGACCGGGCCGCCGACACGTCAGCGGTTCCCGTCAGCGGCTGCATGTAATATCTCAATATTTTGAGTCGGACTGATTAGGGCGTGTGGGTCCGATCAATCACGCCTATCTGCATATGACGGCGCCACTGACGGTTGAGCTCTAAACACGCGTCGAACAAACACGCCGTGAGCCGGCGGCGGCCCGCCAGCATGGCACACTCTGCGGCGACACCGGACGTCACTGGACGCCACTGACGGCGGCTGGACGTCACTGACGGCACGGATCGACCGCAGCGGCGCGCGGCGCGATGCCGGCCCTAATTAAATGAGTTTGGAGTGGTGTTATCGGGACGGACGACACGCCGCGCCGGGGGTAATGACAGGGGTGCGTGCTCTACGCGGCATACCTGTCCGCCGCCGCGGTGGGCGGGGGCCGACGGCGCGGGCATCCCGGCCCGGCCCGGCGCGGCGCGGCTGCCGGCGGCCCCTGGTTAATCAGATCCGCGCGCTGTGGCGGCGCCCACGGGGCGCGGGCGCCGGCCCGGCCGCGGCCAGCTATGCGGCCGGCGCACAGTGACTCCGGGGAGTCGGCGCCGCCGCCGCCGCCACGCAGGGGGCAAGGACCCAGCGGTGCGACCCACCGAAAATAGCGCCCGCTGAGGGGAGGCGGCGGCGGCGGCGGCGGCCGGGTACCCACGGGGTGCGGGCCGGCCGCGGACCTCTGTTTGCTGAGGATTATCGGCATTTACGGCCCTGGTCGGCGTCCGCGGCGCGGCGGTCCGCGGCTGACGGCCGCCGCCGGACCGCTCCCACACGCCACTCGCGGCACTCCGTAGCACTCCGCGGCACCCGCGGGCACTCACACCCCGTGTCAGGCCGGTGACAGCTGACATGTGCCAGCAGCGGCGGCGGCCAGCCGGCCGGCTCGGCCCGATCAGCGACCAGCACAGCGAGCGGCGGCACCAGCTGAATGAAACCGGCCCGACAATTACACCATTGTGACGCGCCTTACCGGCGTCATTTCAAACGGGCGCAAATCAACGGGAGTGATTCTGGCCACAGCAGGGCGTGCTGCTGCTGATATTTCGCAGTGGACTTTTACGCCCGAGCCGAGTGTTTTACGGCCCCGGCCGCCAAATCTAAATTGCCCCGTGACGCTATGCACACAGGGCTCTATATTAGGCGGTCTATAGATAAGCGGCGCACCAATAACACGAAAATTACTCCAGCCGGCAAAGTCGGCCGGGGCCGGGCGCTGTGCCGGGACAGTCTCAGCTCACAGGAGGACGGGACTGGCGAGAGGAGGTCTCGGGTCGGTGTCAGGTCGCCGGGTCAGGTCACCACGCCGCTGCAGCCCACTCGGAACGGCCCAGCTAATGGACCATAAAACTCGGACGCGCCGTGAATGTGCCATGAGCTCGGCCGAGTGGCGAGCGGCGAGCGATGCCGGTCGACCACCACGCCGGCTGCGCGTCTCATTGGAAACAATCGCGCCAGTTAGACGGCCAGCCGGCCGGCCCAGGGCGCCGCGTTCGCCGAGTTCGGCCTTGGCGCAGCGGCGGCGGAGGCGGCCGGCCGGAAACGTCGAAGACGACGCGGCCGACGCCTGGTCGACGAGGGGAGGAGGGGAGGAACTGAGAGGAGACGAGGGGAGAGCAGGGGAGCGCGGGCAGCTGGCGGCCACATGGCCCGCCTGCCAGGAGACGGCCGGGCACCCGAGCCGGCCTCAGACAGTACAGAGACGGCCGGAGATGTACTGAGGCAGGGCCGGGATGTCCGGAGACATACTGAGGCAGACCCGGGATGTCCGGAGACATACTGAGACAGGCCCGGGATGTCCGGGGGCATACTGGATCAGGCCCGAGATGTCCGAAAAAATATTCCCTACATTTTTAGACATAGATATTTATGATGTGTGAAACTACTCATGCTTACTGTAGATGTAAATATGTTTTTTAGCTTTTGAGTGGTGCCCTGGTGTTCTAACAATCCCTGACGCGCTTTGGGGCTCTCAGAGGTTCTGAGGGAAATTTTCCAGACATCTCACGACGCCGTGTGGCGTCTTGAGACAGCCACAGACATCCCTGAGTCACTCTGAGACACCCCTGAGAGACGCCAGGGTGCCGCGGTCCCCGTGCTCGCTCCCGGAGCCCGTGCCGGCCCCCTCAGTGACCCCAGCTGACCGGTCAGCCCGGACAGGCCGGCCGGCCGCGGCGGCGGCGCTATACTCACGCGTATATGGCGTCCTTGTCGCGTTTCTGGGCGTCCGGCACGGCGTTGGCGGCGCCCATGACGTGGTGGGACGGCGGTGAGACGTGGTTGGCCGCCGCCGCCGCCTGGTAGGCGTGCATGCCGTGCGCCATGTGTGCCGGCGAGTGGCTCATGCCCAGCGAGTGCAGCGATCGCTGGCCGTGCGGGTCGTACATGGCGCCGGCCATGCCGTCCATGGCGCCGCCGAAATGGCCCAGCCCGTACTCCTCCTGTGGGCACAGAGTGCCGGCGTCAGCGTCAGCGGGGCGCGCCGCAACAGGTCAGACGCCAGGTGACGCCAGATGACGGCAGGACACACACACACAGACACCTACACTCAGACGCCGCCGCCGACATCAACACCTACCGGTCGAGTGCCGGCCATGCTGGCAGCTGTCTCAGTGTCCGTGGCTCGCGCTCAGTCCGCGACCGGTCAGAATCACGTGTCGCGCGCCGCTCGCTCTCTCCCCCTCTATCTCACACCGCGCGCCTCGCCATGTCCGGGAATCGCGCGCGCTTCACTGGTGTCAGCACCGCGTGCCGAGCCCCGCCGCGCGCCGCCGCCTGTCCACCGCGCTCGCCCGCTCGCCCGCGCCGGTCGACACACACTCCCCGTCCAGCGCCGGCCACCGACTGTCAATCAGGCCGGCCGACCGCTGCGAATGGATAGGCTGTCGGCCGGCGCCGGCGGCGGCCGGTGCGCCGAGCGCCGCGCGCAGCCACCAGTGGGCGGGGCCAGCGGCCAGGCTCCGCCCTCCGCTAACATGGACACTGCCGCGTGGCCTCGGCCGGCCGCCGAGCGCGCGCCACACATCGGGAATTCGAAATAAAAGCGGAGCTGGGCCGGCTCGTGCGCGCGGCGCCGTCTGCCGCCGCTGGTAATTGGACGGGGTCGGGCTGTCGATAGTGACGGCGGTGGCCCGCACCCCCTCCCCCGCCCCCGGCCCCGGCCCCGGCCCCGCGGCCCGCTCGGGCGGGCCGCTGCCCGGTCCCCTCCGCTCCGGCCCGGAGGCGATAAATCACCAGGATTGGACTGTCGGACGCAGAAAAAGGCCGGCCGAATTTAACGGTACCTTGCTACACACTCAATATAATGCCAGAGAAAAGCTGGAAATGGTAGATCCAATTCAGAACGACACAAGCTAAAAGCCTCCACTGTCTATTTCCAAAAACGAGATAACGAATGAATTAAACATCTGGAAAAAGAGAGCCGCCGTAATCATCAATAGACTGCCGATAATGGCGGAATGGTGCGTTTCCAGCGCAGTGTGCGCCCACACTGCGCCGTTGACCCCAGCAGCTCTCGTCGCAAATCGTCGTCGATTTCGGCCGCCCTCAGTCGTTCTCCAAACGACAGTGTAACGGCGGCTCCGATGGGCGCTGATCGGTCGGCGAGCGGTGTGTCGTCGGCGCCCTCCGACACTGCTCAGCCATCAGACGTCGCCAGAGTCGTTACCGACTCGACATCGTCGCAAACGACGGCGGCACCGAGGCCGACGTCTCCGGATCGTCGACCGGCTGCGCCACGCGCCCATCGACCGCCGCCGCCGACGGAGAGAGCGGGCAGAGCGCCGGAGCGCCGCCGAGAAGGACGGAGGAGCTGATACTCCGGAAGCGGCACAACCGGCTGCCGTCGACTGGCGCCGCCGTAAAAACTGCCGTCGACCGGAGCGGCGCCGAGACCGACGAACGGGTGTGAATGGCCGGGTCGTGCCGTCGTCCGGAAACAGGCAGTGACGCAGCCGTCGGCGCGCCGTGTGGGGCGGCCCATCCATCTCACCGCCGCCGCCGCCGGATCGCCGCGACACGACGCATACTTGTTTGTTGGCCTAACGCTGTTAAATGGTTTGATAACGGCGCCCCGCTGGCTGGGCGCGCGGTGGGATGAATGATGCCATTCGGGGCTCGGGACCGGCCCAGGAGTGCTCCCACAAGAGACAGCATCTCCGCGACCGAGCTGATCTGGGCTGGCCAGGACTGGACTCGGCTGGTCAGACTGTGCTGGTCATCAGTCGCGGCCCTGCAGCTCGTGGTGGCAGATATGGGCGCCGCCGCGGCCTTTGGATGGAGGGCAGTTAAACCTGGGCCGGGGCGGGAACCGATTATCCGGGGGACAGATACGGCGCTCACCCATCAGGGGAGGGCTGCATCTCGCCGCAGCCTGGGGAGCACGCTGTGGGGCAGCTAAAGTGACCAGTTACGGGGGAAGATTACCTAGTTGAGATGGTAAGCAGCCGTGAAAACATCATCAGTATTCTTATGAAAAACGCTTATATATTACAGCGTTGGCGTGATATTTGTAGTCAATGTAGAAAAATGTGTACTTTAAAGATGTGAATATGTCGATGAGTAGGCACACTTTAAAAAGCAACGATTTTTACCGTAAAGCTTGACATGTGAATTGCTCGTTGAGGTCAGGTGTGTGTGTGTGTTTTTTTTTTGTAATTGAAAAACGTTTTCGTTTGTAAAAATACCTTATGCTACTTCATCGACAAGTAATCAATAAACCTCGACAGATAACAAGTACATTTCATTTCTGTCTCTGGATTATTATTTTCTTCACCCCAATGTCTAACTGCATTTTGCCTGTCTGGTTTGCGCAGTCTACTACAAAAAAGCATACTGTTGTCCCTGCCTATTGTATGCCTTTCCTGCAACACCAACTAAAGGTCCACATCTCATTAGTGCTTCGGGCTTCCAAACAATCAATCGCAATAGTCGACATGTTTCAACTCTGTTCGGTATAGAGAACGCTGTTTGTTGGCATTTTGGCATAGTGTTAGGCTGTGGCACTCGTAGTTTACAAATTCGACTGCGTATGTTCAGGAAAGCCCAATGTCAAACTCCATAAGAATTTACCATGGTATTTGGTGGCCGTTGAGTTTGCTTTACTGAAAAAATGATAACTGGTTGCAGAAAACATCAAATTTTTAGAACTGAGGACATTAGATAACCCATTTATAATTCAATCAATGATTTAATCAGTAAATTGAAAACAAAGTGTCATTCCCAGGTATATGACACCGACTCAGAAAAACTGAAATTTTCAAAAATGGAAGGGGCATATTTTCTTAACCTGACGGTTCCCACACCACACCTAAGGTTTCGCCGTAAAATAAGACAATGGTTATCGTCTTTGCAATTATCAAAAGCAAATGTTTCGTATTATACAAGCCTAAAAGTGATGTCCTTTTGCATGGTTTCCAACCTTGTAAATGCATTTTGAGGATTAAGGCACGATGCGCTAATCCATTTATCTGCTCGACCAAAAGCAGAAATAAAACAAAATAGGTTCAATTTTGCGTTAACACTTTCTTCACTTTTTCACACGATTGACGAACATTGAATCACTTGTCAGCTAAATCTGCATGGGCTAAGCTATAAGACAAGCATTGAATACAAGCTTTGTGATAACTTTAAGACAACTGTTCGAGAACATTTCTGATATAATGTAAGCATGGTTCAAGTGCTTTCTAACCACGGTGCATCACTTTTATGCCAATTCATTAACTTTTTGGAAGGTGGAAGGGTCCCTTTGATGTCTGATTTTACTTATTTTACCATACATTTATCAACGTCATAAAAAAGAAAGCAATTAAAATATTGCAACAAAAGGCTGCGACTTGCGAGCATAAGTAATGTTTGTTAAACAATGGCAAACTAAATGGGCTGCAATGACTGGTCGGGATAATACTCATCCGCCTTTTTCACGACGGGCTATCCGGCGAATGCACCTAATTTGACCAAACCTGCACCTTATCTCTTTTACAGCAAATATCTTCATTTTTTGATTTATTTGAGCGTTTTAATCGATGGTATTGTCTGATAATATGACGAAGCAGGTATATAAGCAATTAGTGCAACCCTAGCTGATAGCTACTAAGAGACACACTTAACCGAATTTGACCAAATGTGCACCTAATCTGCACCAAATGTGCACCAAATGTGTACCACATTGCCGTAGTGAAAACGGCTATCATCTTCTACAACACCTGGACTTTTAATCGTCCCAACTTCATTTCAAATGAACACCTACAGCACATCTTATGTCATTACTCATTCGTGGCTCATTTAATCACAAAACATTCGTAAATTGTTATTTAACATTCTATAAAAAGAAATCCAGCCCTAAAGAAGTAGATTCAAGAAAAAGAAACAGAACTAAGCTGAAAGTAAATAATGAGCAAACCGAAGAAGATAATGTAGCTCTTATCACTGGGCACACATGGGGACATGGCCCGCTCAAACATAAAACCTTCATGTCAAAACGCTAAGATAACAAGAGCGAATGATTTACGTAAATTTACGAGTGACAAATGTCAATGTTATTCATTCTTACATAAGCCACTGGGCGCAAATAAAATTGCATGCTGCTTTTTTGTTATAATTAGTGCCCAGGTCTTTTTGGAGTGATAATAGCCGTTTTCACGACGGTCATCTGGTACACATTTGGTGCACATCTGGTGCAGATCAGGTGCAGATTTGGTCAAATCAGGTTCAGTGTGTCTCTTAGTAGCTATCAGCTAGGGTTACACTTATTGCTTATATGCCTGCTTTGTCGTATTATCAGAGAGCATCATCGATTTAAACATTGAAATAAATTCATAAAATGAAGATATTTGCTGTAAAAGAGATGGTGCAGATTTGGTCAAATTAGATGCACTCGCCGGATAGACCGTCGTGAAAACGGCTAATATTTCTCGTGTCGCAAACCCCACGCTATGTACCTATAGCAGTAAGGATCAGGGTTGTGCTCGACTCAAAAAAATTTGCCGACTCGACTCATCATTCAACTTCAGAATGCCCTGACTCAACTCTGACTCAAACAAGGAGCTGATTTTTTTCGCTTGACTCGACTCATGACTCAAGCGGCTCAATGAAAATATGAGTTGACTCAAACTTGACTCAAATTTTTTTGTTGAGTCAAGTGTGTTGATTCAAAATTGACTCAGATAAAAAAGTTGTTGAGTGGGGGGGGGGGAAATCCGGCAGCAGGGCCAGGCCTAAGTTGTTAAGCGGGGGGAGAATGAAAAACTTATACTATATACCTATTGTTTCTAGAAAGTTGAGTCAGCTGACTCATGTTCCTAAATGTTTTTGACTCAACTCAATGTCAAAAGTTATTTTACTGACTCAACTCTGACTCAACTCAACACCTTAATATTTTTGTCCGACTCAACTCTGACTCAACTCAACAGCTCAACACTTTATCCGACTCGACTCATATCTGACTCATTTGAGTCAGAGTTGAGTCAAATTTCTGACTCGACTCATGAGTCAAGCACAACCCTGGTAAGGATGACCTACATGAATCGAATAACTATGATGTGGTCCTTTGAATGAGTGTCCTTAGTAAATTATACCAAAAAGTTTAAATACCGTCACTAAAATCTGCAAGTTCTACTAAAAAAAATCAGCGCATTTATTCTTTTATTAGCACACGCTCCATGCATTAACGCGCAATCTGTTTCCGATCCTGCTAACCAGTAATGATTACACTGATTTACTTGCTCATCCGAAGCGCCTGGTGAGCGACCAGAACACAACAGGGATTATAAAATGCATGTTATGCATCCCTTCACTTATTCATGAACCATTTGTTTATGAGCTGTGTTCAGCTTACGACACCGGGACGGATGGACGGGTACAGCTGTAACTGT